TATCATCTCTTAAAATGGTATCTATAAGCCCATTCCCAATACAATCAACCAACAACATCACTTCTTGCACAAGCGAGTGCAAATTTCTGGGCACTTAAGTGTTCAATCATCTTCTACCTTCAAGTCACAAATGGCGGATAAGCCAATCTAACTCTTTAGGTTTAAGAAGATTGAACATGGGCAGTTGTTGTACCCCAAAACTTTCGCTCCCATTTTCTTCAAGACATTCTTCTAAAGCTTCTCAAAATACTCAAGATACTCAAGAGATTACCAGTCAAATGTTCCTCCTAAGCCAAAGGACTACAACTAAAGTTTTGAATTTCTCAAGAAAGATTTAGTGGAAAAGGTCTCAAGTGGTTTCCGTGGTTCATCATAGGTCTTCAACAATGTTTATGTCAAGTTTCAAGTCCTACATCACAAGTTTGCTTAGTCAATGGCTCAAATGATTGAAAATCAACTGTAATGGTCAAAAAGTCAAATATGGTCAACATACAGTCAAACTTCAAAATTTTTGGTCAACATCAATATTTTGATGTGATATTCATCATTTGATTAAGGATTGATCATGATTCCCAAAGGAAAGCTCTCAAATCATCAAAGGTCCAAAATTTTCAAATTAGGGTTTCCTGATGAGAAGTCAACTGAACTTTGACCAGGCATAACTTTCACATGCTTCATCAACTTTTCCCGAACCAAATCCCATTTTGAAGGAAATTTAATTCTCTACAACTTTTCATTTATACTCAAGTCCAAAAAGTGCTTCATTTGAAAGATATGAGTTAATACATTATAGGTCAGTTTCAAAAGTCAACAAAAGACACTTTTTGTCAAGGCAACTTACATCAAGATAATGTCTCCAAATGAAAAAATGATCATAAGAGAAAGTGTAGATAGAATCTTGAGATTTCCAAAAAAGTCCAATATCACCTTCAAAAGATGAAAATTGAGCGAGTTATGAGTTACACGAGTTGGAGAATTTTGAGGAAATTCATGAAATGCAAATTGAGCAAACTTGCAATTTTAAATTAGTGGGCCTAACTTTTGATATTCAAATAAGATCATAAGATGTTAGAGGACCTCTAAAAAGCATTCTCACATTTTTATAATTTTTATTGCTTTTATTTGAATTTTTATTCATTTAAAATGAATAAAATCAAATAAAAAATGAAAACAGTGTTTGAAGGCTTGGGCCTTTGGATTTCACTCCCTTTGTAGGCCCAATAATGCATACAAGCTTGTTACAACATGTCCATATTCGTACAAGCTCAAGAAGGCAAGGATTTTTCAAGTTTGACATGTTTTAAAGGTGTTTTATCCTTGTTTAAACCATGGCTTCATGGCCTTGATTCCTTTCTAAAATCGTGCAAGCATAAGAAAGGCAAGGAAAATCTCAAGCTGACAAGTTTTCAAATTGTTTGATTATGACTTTATTATGACTTCATGGCCTTGATCTCTTGCCATATATGTTGGCTCAAATTATCCTCTATATAATGCAAGCAAATCTATGCCAAAGGGACACGGAAACATTTGCACCAAAGCTCTCCAAAAATTCTCCAAAATTCAAAGAAGTTATGAAAATTATATCTCACATTCCAGCAAGTTTAGATCCAAACTAAGGCTTGCATTCATTTCCTGAGGGTCAAGAGTGTTGACCCAAGTCCATATTCGCAGTCCTCAAACGCCAGAACCCGATCTGTGCATCACATCGTTATTTTGAAATTGGTAAAAATCAAAACTATATTTTCTTGCGTTTTTAATCATTACTAACATGTTTGATCTCCTCCTATGCATCATAAGAGCAGGATAGGTACATTACATGTAAAGTTTGATGCAGAAATGGTGTTTTACCATGGTTAGGGTACCGAAGCCATTGATCATCAAACCGGACATTGCAAGCAACTTTCTCCCCTTGCATCCCCCATCTGCTTTTCACAAAGCAGGCCCATAGTCTTTTTTTATTTATTATTTTTTAATCTATTTCTTTTCTTTTTTTAATCAATTTTTTAAATAAAATCATAAAAATCAAAAAAATTAGATATATATTTTAATTAATTAACTTTATTTTCATAATAAAAATTAATTAATTTAATCACTTTAAATTTATTTTATTAATTAAAATATAATTAGAATTAGACTTTAATTATCATTCCATTATTTTTCTAAATAAAAACACAAAAAATATTTTTTATACTTAGAATTTTTTTAGATATCTTGTCCTCTTCAATCTCCGCGCGTTTATTTATTTTATCGCATTTTTTTCAATATTGTAACTGTTCAAAGTATGTAATAGATAAACTAGGACCCTTTACCTTTTTATCTCCCAATTTTTGGTATGTACTCTCTCATCCCCGAAGCAATGTAATAGTGTAGTTTACTTCGCGCACTTTTATTTTCTGCCCTTGTATATATCTAATTGCTAGATTAAATAGACAGTGCATGATAAGACTTAATAGAAAACGGTAGAAACCCAAACATTCAAGATAAACATAACTGAAATACAACACACTTCACACACGCGCACCTCAAAGGTACCTGCACTTGTTGCCTTCGAAAAACAAACAGTCACGTCTCTCGAACGTAAGAAATTTTAACAAAGACTCTTTGGTTAAAAGATCATAGTCCCTCGATGACCCTTCGATGCTGCCTCGGTAAATGATCTTAGTACCTTAGAGTAATTGCTAAATTGTCCTACGAGTTTTCTTCGTGATTGTACGATGACCCGCGTCTGTCCCTCAAACATCCAATGATAGGGCTATCCACCAACTAATGGTAGGATAGCACTATCTAAAGAAAAAGAGGAAAAGAGGAAAAGAACAAAGATCTTTTGAGTAGGTAGATAGCTTGTAGTTGGTTGCTCATAAAACAAAACAAATTTCTCACACATACACTCTCTTTTCTAAATATTTTCAAAGACAAAAACACTTTGTATGCATTCTCAATGATACGAGAATCATTACAAAGTTTTCCGCACTAAGACATCTTTTCAAAATATTTTCAAAACACACTTACACAAAAAGCATTTTCCAAGTGAGCTGGCAACTAAGAACCCGTAGATAACTACAGATGGAAATGATGCTAACACCTTCCCTTTCCATAACCTACCCCCTTACTCAAAAAATTCTCGAAAAATCTTTCCTGTTCTTTTCATCATTTCCTTTATTGGATAAAAGAAAAGTCGGTGACGACTCTTGCTAACCGCAACATTTGCGATAAAACGCAAAATCAGTAAAGTCAGTTCTCCCACCGTATTACACTAATGATGTCTTGTTATTTTCCAGTGGAGATAATACTTCCGTTGAGCTTATTATGCAAGCTTTTGAGAGATTTACTATGTCCACAGGTATGAGAATCAACCCTACTAAGAGTAGAATATTTTTTTGAGGTGTTGATGAGAATACTAAGAGGATTATCCTGCAGTATACTTGTTTTGTTGAAGGTTCCTTGCCCTTCAAATACCTGAGTGTTCCATTGACTTGTAAAAGGCTGAATATCATTATATGAGTTTGATGAACAGAATTGTGGAGAGGATTAGGCACTGAAGTACCAAGTTGCTCAGTTATACTGGTAGATTACAGTTGTTCAAGAGTGTTACTTTTGCTGCAACTAATTATTGGATGCAATGTCTGCCCTTGCCTCAGTTTGTGATAAAGAAAATCAATTTTATCTGTCGAAATTTCTTGTGGATGGGTGGTGTCGATAGTAGCAGAAAGAGCCTAGTGGCTTGTAGTACTGTCTGTAAACCTATAAAGCAGAGAAGTTTGAATATTATTGATTTGGGGATCTGAAATATGGTAGTTATGCTTAAGTTGTTATGAAACATTTGCAATAAAGCTGATAGCATGTGGGTGAAGTGGGCGCACACCAATTATTTCAAAAATAGGAATGTTGTGGATCTGGATACTAATAGGGGGAGCTCTTGGATTATGAAAGTTGTTTTGAACCAAAAAATTAATATCAGTAAGGTTCAGAACCTATAGGATAGTATGATAGTGAATAAGAAGTTTCATATGAGAATCATTTATAATGAGTTAAGGAATGATGGCACCCATTGTGATTGAAACAAGCTTATGTACTGTAATACGACTAGACCTAGAGCCACCTTGATTCTTTGGTTAGCATGCCATAAAAGGCTTCCAAACCAAAGACCGATTAGTAAAGTTTGGTTGTATTACAAAAGTTTGGTTGTATTACAAATTTAAATTGCTGCTTTTATGATGCAGCTGAAAATTTGAGTCATCTTTTCTTCGAGTGTTCTGTCATGAAACAAACTTAGAGAAATATCCTCAGGTGGATTGGGGTGAAGCACGACCCCTAGAATTGAGATAGGGAACTTGGATGGCTAAAGCATAACGTTAAAGACAAAGGATGACACTCTTCCTTGATCAAGTTGGTAATAGCTAAAACCATTTATGGTCTTTGAAACTATAGAAACAAGAGTAGTTTTGTGATAATACTGATACTAACAAAGAATTTTGAATTTTAAATGATGACCGTTTGATTTCAATCTTTCGATAAAAAACCATCGACAGCGTGAATGCGCTATTACCATGACTGCAACTTGCAGTCCCTCCGATGACACCGCCTAAATTATTTTATGCAAAATGACACCGCTAGTTGATCATTTAGAAACAAATATTTATTTTCATTCATTTAATTAAACTCATCAAATTTTAATGCAAAAACCAGATCCTCATCCAACTACGTCTGCATCTTTGAAATTTCCCTTTTTATGCTATACAATTTTTTGTAAAGCTTCAGACTTATAAAGTAAACATTAAACAATCGTTCAACAAAGTCAGTATCAGAAAAGAAAGAGAAAAAAATGAACAGAAGTAGCAAATCAAATTGCAATATAACTGAACCAAAAAAACAAAGATGAGTGAAATTAAATAACCTTGGGACAGTAAACAAAAAGTTTCTAATTAGAGAACAGAGAAACAAAAGCAAAGCGCTACGGAAACACATCAATCAAGATCCGAAACCCAAACTACCAGATCTGATCACACACCACCGCCAGCTTTGTACCGATAAAGCTTCCCGAACACATGAAGCGCGGTGACGAACCCGATGAAGCAGAGACTCATGACTAACACCACGGTCGGCGATATCTTCAGCCCCGGTGCATCGTCCGTGTAGAATCTCAGCATGTTGTTGCTTCCACTGGATCCACCTCCAACACTGCCGCTGCTGTTGCCGGAGGTGAGACGGCGACGGCGCATGCCGGCGGTTGCGGCAGCGGAGCCGCGGGGAGCGACAACGCCTCCTCCTCCTCCGGGACGGGAGGATGTTGAAGTTGATGATTGGGATTGAGATGCTCCTTTAGCCATGTTGGAAAATGAGAGGAAAGTGGGTGAAAAAAAGACTCGAGTGATGTTGGAGAGTAGAGGACGGTTAGACTAAAGCTTGCAAAGAGTACAAATTGATTCAATAAAGAATGAGGTGGCGTTTAGTCTTAAAGATTGTTAAAATTTCAATGACACATATAAACTCACAATTTCACAATTAAATTGTGCTAAGTAAATCATATAAATTAATCATTTTTTTTAAAACGTAATCATTTGTTTAATTAAGATTTTTTTATTAAACAATTTATTAAATAAAAATAAAAAGAATGAGGGGGAAAATTTTAATTCATAATAGTTGAACATGCTTGCTTAATCAATCTTTAAAAAAATAACTTTAAAAACACAAATAAAAAATGAATTTCATAAAATGTCATAATTAATAAAATAAATTTATATTAAATTTTTTTATCTATATATACATTCTTTTCTATAAAAATATGAAATATTTTAAATATAAAAGAGTATATAATGAATTATTCTTCATTTACTTAAAATATATCAAGATACAATATTTAAATTAGCAAATAAATAAATGATCACCAATGAGTCAGTTTCATAGTAATAGTTTTTCAATTTTTTTGTTATCATGATCAATAGCAAATAATATTTTAAAGATTGAATCAGTCATCCATTCAATCAAATTATTAGGTTATTAAATTAATATTGGATAAGTGGATCATCCGTCAGACCGCGTGAATTTTAATAATGTAAAAATATAATTTTATTTTTCTTTTGTAACACGATGTTTTTTCAAAAAATTTATTAGTTTAAAATATTATTATATCGTATAATTATTTTTTTAACATTTTAATTTTATTATATTATTATATTTTATAATTAGTATTAAATAAATTTAATGAAAATTGAAATATTGTAATTATAAAATATATAATTTTCTTCTTTTTAATTAAATTAAACATCAAAGAAATTTATAGTGAAGTTGGTAAAACTAGAATCCTAAATTTTTTGAAAGGTTATAAATTTGATTCTTAAAATTTGACAAAAAAATATTTTATTATTTTAATATTGTTTAGTTATTATAAATAATTAATATAATTATACATATTAATAAAATTGATTTTTAAAATAAAAACATCAAGACTTAAAGAAAATGAAATTAGGGAATCAAAATTATAACTAAACTAAAAATAATAAATATAAAATGATCAATTTGTCGGATAAAAAATTTAATTGTTTATTAGTTTGACCAGTGAACCAACTGGATCAATTGCAATAATGGTCTGATGATTTTATCGGACCGCTCTACTCTCTGATTCACAGTCTAACTAGTTTGATAGATCAGAATGATCTGAGTTTTAAAACTATGATAGCAATTATAATTTCATGTAACTTAGCTTGAAATGAGATATAAACTTCAATCTTAGCTAAGAAAAATCTCAATAATATTCTTAAATTATTTTTAAATTTGACATCACAAGTGGATATTTCATAATTTTCTCTTGAAATTTCACATGCCTTGCACTTAATTCAATTATGACTAAAAAAATATCACTTGACATGTATGATTCAAGGTGCACGAGAAAGCCGAAATTAAATGTCTAAGTATTTAATAATTGGAGACTCGTAAATTGAAGAATACATATGCCTCTTAGAAGGAGTAATTTTCTAACAATAGATACTGATCTGACCTGATCAGAAATGGACCGTCACAGCTGGCTCCGAGCAGAAAGCTTTTTTGAACGAGGTGGGGGGGGGGTACCTGCAAGGCACTCTGATGCTGAAGTAAGTAGGAGTACGAGCAGATAATAGCAAGTGTAAGGTTAGAATGATGAATACCTGACCCTCTGGGAGCAGAGGGTATTTATAGCCCCCAGCGCTGGGCCAAGATTCCTTCATTGGGCCGGGCAGGTTTGGCCCAATGGAGGAACTGCCAGGTTCTACGTGCGTAGTGGGGACCCGCACGTGGTCCCCTTCCTGGATGTTCTGCGTGAAGTGCGGGCGGACGGAGACGCGGTCTTTTCGGAGTATCGTTGGGGGAACAGTGGACTGAGTCTGCCCTAGCTGGGGTGCTCGAGGTAACGTCGAGCTGGACCTCAGACTGTGGTGTTGGACCACCTCATGTCGAGCTGGAGGCGTATCGTCGAGCCAGCGACTGCGCGTCGGGCACGGTCTCACTCTTTGGTCGGCGTGGCCCTTGTAAGTCCATTTGGACTGGGCCTTTGCAATGCTTTTGGGCCTGTCGGGCCCAGTCCAGAACAGGAGCCCCCCAAGTCGTGGTTCCTTTGTGAGGAGCCATGACTTGAACTCAGGTCGCTTCCTCATCGAGGTCTCGTGCCCGGGACAGAGGTGTGGCCCTCGAGGGCCTCCTCGTGTCGTACTCGGAGACATCTTCTGCGGTGGATGCCTGGAGGATCCTTACCGGGCGCATCTGTCGAGCATACGAGGTATCTTTCGAGAACTGTGTCGCCACCCTATGGGGATAGGGTCATCATTGCGTTGGGAGCAGCGCGTCGAGGAGAGGGAGTCCGTGGTTGCCCGAGGTGACGTTTGGTATTCCACGTCATCACTATAAATAGGAACCTTGGGCCCCATAACACGTTTCTATTCTCTGTGCTCTCTCTGCTGCTGCTCTTCCAGATCTTCTCCAGTTGCGACTTTCTGTCACCGATTCTTCCACTCCGTAGCCAAATCCTACTTTTTGATTCAAGTAAGTGGTCTATCTTCTTCATTTTCTTGTTAAAATGCATGATTTTTGGCGTTTGTAGATGTCTTAGGGCTGTGCGCGTGGGATTAGCCCGGTAAACTCATACTTAGCCCGACATATTCATGCCTAGGACCGGCAAACGCATGTTTGTGGTCGGCATATTCATAGTTTTAGGTGATAAACCTCAGCGCTGCCCGGGGCCGTCATGATCCTGGGCGCCCGATTCATGATCGTGCCCGGTATGTTCATGATCTTGGCCGTGGACCTCATGGTGTGGCTCGCCATGTTCATACATTGGGTCGACATGTTGGAGAGTGACCGCGTAGTTGGTTTGAGGGAGAACACATCGAGTTTCAGGATGTCGGGGAGGCGATCATTCGTGGAAATGGGCTATGTGGTCGTGCATGGGACGACATGATTTGTCGAGCGTATGGTTTCGTGCCCAATTGACTGGTTTCCCGTACTCTGCAGGTAACCATGGCGGACGAGCCGAGCTCCTCCGGGCGCCACGATCGTGAAGAACAAAGTGCCGATGAGCCGGTCAACCTGATTGATACTGTGACCGACCCTTTGCTGGATTGGGTGGGCGTCGAGCCCCGAGGGATTGCGTTGATCTACAGCCGTGGCGACCGAGATCCATATGCTGTCATCGAAGCGGGCCAGGGCCAGCCCGACTTCCAAAAGAACTTCGTAGTCATGCGCCCGTCCTCCCGTGCAAGGATCTGCTCGGTTTATCCGGAATATAGTTTCGCGATGTATGAGATCGCGTTCAAAGATCTAGGGTTGCGGCTGCCCTTCACTGATTTCCAGGTCGGGGTCTTCACTCACCTGGAGCTGGCCCCGTCCCAGCTACATCCAAACTCGCTCGCCTTCATCCGGGCGTTTGAGTTGACGTGTCGATATCTGAGGATCGGGGCGACCATACCGCTCTTCTTCCGGATTTTCCATCTACAGCGCCAGTCCCGAGGAGGGAAACATAGCTGGGTCTCCTTGAAGCAGTCGAGGAGACTCTTCAAAATGTATATGGACTCCGTAAGGGGTTTTAAAGACAAGTGGTACGTGGTGCGGCCAGTTACCACCTCTGCTTTAAGTTCCCTTTTCGAGGAGGAGGAGCCCCTGAGCGATGATGACGGGGATGCGGTTTTGGGCGACGATGGGAATCCTGTGTTGGCCCGTACGGCTAAAGTCCATGTGCACTGGATGTTCCGGCACTACGAGCACGGGACTGGTTATTATCATACTGCTGCCGGGGACATGTGCTCGGAAGACGAGGAGGCGTACGCCACACTCTGCCGGTTTGTCGATAGCTTTCACCCTGCCCGGTGGGCTACGCGGGAAGGGGATGATATCTTGGACAAAGATGGTTACCCAACGTTTGAGTCCCGTCCGATTGATACCAAGGCGCTCGTGGAGTGCCAGACGTACAGGCAGGCTGCCCGTCTGTTAGGTTGTTTATTGTTTGAATTTCTTTGCTCGTCATTTATTTATGAGTTTGCTCGATACTGACCCAACTTTTATTTTGTGCAGGTTCGATGGCTGGTCGACATGAAAGGCTTTTGAAATTATCTTGAGACCAGAAGCGAGGCAGGAGGGTCGTGAAGGCCCCACAGGCGACGAGGATGGGACCACCACACAGTCCAAGTGCTCCTCAGCCGGTGAGGGTGGATTCGCCGTCAAGCTCGGGGGCCGCGTCGGATGGGACCCCAGAAGTTGAAGAGGTCGACCCTAGTACCGTCCTGATACAGAGGAAGAGGACCCGTGTGGAGAGTGGTCCGACTGTTGGCGAGGACGCCAGTGCCGTTAAATCTTTCGCCTTCCCCCCTTGCTTCGAAGAGGCGGGCTTCTTCGAGAGATTCCCTCTGACAGTGGTTGCCGACGAGGCTGCAGCTATAAAAAAGATGAGTAAAGAGGACCGGAAGACGCATCTGGCCGCCAGCATGGACGGTCTGTTAAAAATGGCCGAGATGGATTTGGTGCTATCCGAGGAAGGAGGGGATCCTGCCCGTGTCGAAGAACTCGAGCAGGAGAAGGCGGCCCTGACCTCGAGCTCGCGGAAGTTGAAGATCGCTCTGGAACGCTCTGAGGAGATGTTCCGCGAGCAGATGGCGATGCTCGATGCTGAGAGGGAGATGTTGACCCTGGAGAAGGAGAAGTCGGGGAAGCTGGCCGAGGAAGGGGAGCTTCTCCGGGCAGACAGGGATCGTCTGGGGGCCGAAGTCGGACGCTTGGCCCAGCAGATCGAGGAAATGAACGCTGCCATGCAACCTGCCGAGGACGAGCCCGAGGACATATCGGCTTTGAAGAGTCGGTTGGAGCT